TATATATATATATATATATATATATATATATATATATATATATATATATGCAGTTCAATCGTTAGATGTACGTTTAAAACCACTGTACGGTAGGCGATCTGACATTTTAAAAGATGTAATAATGGATTGATTCACAAGGTGTTCAGGTGTAAAATGGTTTCTTCTCATTGGGACATGCACACATCTGTAATTTATGTTGATCTGATCAAGTGGTTTCTTCATTTTGAAGGGTCAGAAAATTATCACTTTACGTCGCACGCTTGAAGGCTTTGTCTGTCCCTCACTTCTTGATCCACTGTTTTATTTTTGCTGGTATTTCCCCTTTTGACTATACGGGTTGTTTTGATTCTTCGGTGGTGCTCAAAAACGATATCCAGTTCCTTTTCAGGTCATTGGCACAGATCTGTCTAGAAGTAGCAGGATATCTCGTCAAAGTCTCTGTTACTTCATCGTTTTACAACATAGAAACTCGTATTACTTGTTATCGTCAAAGATTCTGAGCAACTGTTCGCATCCTTTGCACTGATCGTATGTGTGTCCTTTTTATTCCAAGGTGCCCAGACTCACATTGAAAAATATCTATTTTGCAAATTTCAGACTACGGACGGTAGGCTGAATAATGGCACAATAGTTCCTGATTAAATCAAACATCTGATTCGCTTTAGTTCTTTCCTCTCATCCCAGTCTATGATTATGGATGCCATTTATTTGGCAATCTACTTAGAAAAACTACTTGAAGAGTCCATAAACAACAGAGAGTGGGAAGATGTCAATCGCATTGTACGATTTGATTTACTGTCATCTTCCTTCGAAATAATTTCGAAAGTAAGTAGTATATCACGAACAACTGTTTCGTTCACGTGCTTTGAACACATTAGAAGTTGACAGAATTTGTACCGCAGGATCTCTGTCTGTTTCACGCGATGATCTGGCCAAACACGTGACTACTGGCTCCTTGTGACGCCAATTTCAAACTCTCATCGATTTGTCCAGTCAACTCTGAGCGGAGAGAAATAGTCAGTCGTCCAGTTGGTCTATCGCGCGAGTAAATCGTGTTTGTTCTCGTCCAAAAGTACATCAGCTCAGATGTCTACTTTCTCCATGCTTGAACTAGTATGCATGTCGATGAAAACCGATCAGACCACCGACGCTACTCATTCACATCCGGATCTAAAAGAATCGATCTAGAACGATATTTGCAAGCTAAACGGTCTCAAAAACAATCCTTGCTTGAATTTCCCAGGGCTGCACAAAGAACTCACCTAACTTCACTCTTTTCCTCGCTCTACATTGATCGGTCAGATTTTGTGGGTTCACCTTGTAACATCAAATTGCTATCGTATCTAACGTCCATCCATTCTGATACTGAACAACTGAACTGGTGCAAAAATGACTATTCTCTGAATCCCCATTTGATCCAATCGCTTCGACAAGACTTCTATACCCTACGAAATTGTTTAGTTGGTCAACCATTGTGGGAATTTGGACCCCTGTTTTCGTGGTGTTTCAAACCGCATCGGTTTACTTATCGCATCGCAGTTCAATTGATACGACACTGCTTCAATTCTGAACTGTTCGGTGCATTGCATGTGGACAACTCACCTCGTGCACTGGCCCCTATACGACAATCATCATTGGATACGTGGGATTGGTTTGGTCGATCTTCCGTGTTTCGCCCCGCGCATGTACACTGGACTGATATGGACAGGCATTTCAATCTCACAAGTCGACTGTTCTGCACCAACAATAATGGTCTTTCCTCAGATCAGGAACTAACAACGCCCAGCATCATTAAGCCTCGTTGTCGACGTTCACGTTCCACGGTCGGGGGGAACAATTCATGCACACTGGCCGTTTCATCCTCCGCGCACAGATCACCTCAGATGGGCACTGTGCAAGTTCTGACTCATGAGGCACCTAGTGTGATAGAGGAGTGGGATGATCTGGACGATGATGGACGTGGCTCGGTGAATTCCGACGAACCTCTGAAAAGTGATCCGATTTTGTACAGTGGATTTCTACTGCGTGCACTGAAGCCACCTGCCTCACCTAGACGACCGCTGACTGCGAGTGTCCGGCCAAAGCCGCATCGTAGTCGGAGTAGCAGTCGAAACGGTTTAGGATTTGATCGAATCTCCGAAACTGACGGAAAATGCTCACTAGTCGTGGTAGATGATTCGATGCGATTGGGAAGTCCGCTCGAAGCACCGAAACCTCGCAAACGACACCAAAGCAGCACACAGTTAAATATAAACAGAGACGAATGCGAACTGAAAGATGAAATCGAACAATGGAAATCGCATATGTCCGATTTGTCTGGTATGCGTTCACCGCTTAAGGATTATTCTTCTCCTCAAATAACACCCGAACATACTCCTAAACCCGCCTTGCGCTCAAGAGGTTCGACCAGTTTGAATCCCAATGCGAGTACACCTACTCTGCTAAGGGTTATTCCGATCACCCGTGGGTCCCAGGTACAACAAACCGTATGCTCATTCGACCAAAGAGAGTTCATTACTTGTTCACCACAACAATCATTTTGGCTAGTAGTTGATCGTGTTGCTCTGTTGTCTTCATTAGACTCTTGGCTACAATTGACCGCTTATGCAGAACAAAAAGAAACCATCCGGATGTGGTATAACAACAATTTTCCCCGGAACATTTACCGCGTTTGTGTGTATCACTCAGTGGGGGTGACATTTTGGATAACTTCTTCTGTTCGCATCACTGAATCGGTTTCTCCCATTCTGTACTCACTCCAGGATTCGGTTGATTCCAGTCAACCATGTAGTGCTCAAGCGATCAAACCGTCCAACTGGGAGATGCAAAAATCGGTCGATATCTCAAATGGCATCGGTGAGTTCAGTATCTGCTGTGGTGCATACTTTATTCATTAACTCATTCCTTAGTTTTATTTGGATTCAGGTATATGAAATAGTAATCCAATCTACTGAAGACTGAGTTCAGTTCAGTTTCTTAAAGTAGGATGCCCACGATTGTACACAGTAATCTAGACGGGGTCTATCAATCGCCTTGCGTAGGACTGCAGCGTAAAGAGTTATCCTCAGAGCTTGTTTTCCGCTCTCTGGCATTGTTCAGATTGCCTTAAACCCTGTTTAATGACACCAAGGCCATTTATTTCGGTCATCCTTTGTATCTGATTTCCTTGCTTCAGCCATTGCAGTCAATAGCTTGCATTCCATCCCGAGAGTGTTCAGTCTTATACAATGAAAACCCCATTTTCAGCTCGAGAGGTGGATTTGAGATGAACTAGTTTCGAAGAGTCATTGCGATGATTCTGTATGTCAGGTGTCGATGATTAGATACGTCTAACCTCAGTCAACTGGACACTAGGGTCGCTTTTCAGTGTTTTATAATGACTAGTATGTGTATGATTGGTCAGGATATCCCAGAAGCACACGACCGGTTTCCCGGTCCTTGCCACTCGTCAGGTGTGCGTGTCCTGTATCCTTCCGTGTGGTCATTCTTATACTTGAACTCACGACGTGCAATGCAAACCTCATTTGCAGCTCGGGGAGTCTGCTTGACTTAATGTTGTGGATATCCAAAGTCTTAAGAGATTAATGTAGGGTAGAGGTTACCTGTGTCAAGACAATATAATGAGGGCTTAGACAATGTTTAAAGCTGAGGATTGAGATAAACATTACGAAAATGTGACACCCAGATTTTCTCTACCTTCTAATACATGATTCAGTTCCGGTGACACGTCATGGTTGATCAATGTCCGTGCTTCTCTCTTGACCAGTAGAGTTGCAAGGTAAACTTCAGTCATGAAATGCGTTTTACTTATATACTTTTCATGCTTCCAGCTGGTTATGAGAACAGACTTTGTCTCGCCCTCGAACACTTCCTCCCACACTTCAGTCATGTTTATTTTTCGCCTATGTTAAACGGCTACCCTCTGCTGTCCTGCTCATTGTTTTTTCTCCAATGTTTATCCATGTTTTTCTCCTGTTCACGCACACACACACACACACGTTTATATTCATATCACGGTGCTTCTTTTCACTGTCTAATTCCACAGCCGGAGAAAACAATGATTATGTCATGACAAGAACAGCACAAGGGAATGGATGTGCCTCCAACTCGATCACGAACGGGACGAACAGACGGACTACCGATTTGGCTCAATCGATAGATCAGAACAAATCGATAAGGTGTGTTTCTTGTTTTTTTTTCCGCGCTTCGCACGAAATCTCATTTCTTGCTGGAAAAGTCATATTATAGTTCCACTGAGAAATCATCGAATGTCACTTGTGAATACTGATTTCATCGAAACCCATAAAGACGCGATTTTTACATATGCATGGATCAGAACGACTTCGTTGAAATAGTTATTTTATCTGAAATTGCGATTTGTTTGACCTCGGTACAATCTTCGTCTATTTATGTATAACGGGATACCCCAATCCTGAACGGAAAGGTTATCAATGCTTGAAAACCGCCAATTCATGTTTCTTCGAATGTCGTCTTCAATCGTTGTCCGTTAGTTCAGTTTTAGCCCGACAGTAATGAAGGGAAACAGTTGACTATCTGCTAACTCCATTCGAACGTCTCCCGCCAACTGTGTCTGGTCTTCTATTCAGGTTTAGGCTTCGTTGCCACAAATCTAGTATGCCATATTCTCAGTTCACATTAAGTTGATAGTTGATATCGATTGAGGCTGACCACCTTTCCCACTCTGTATCCACGTATATTCATCAGTTCCTCCAGTGACCATACACTCGAACCTCCATGGAAGATCTGATTTGGACCGGAGGTTTTCGCGTGAATTTAACAAGTGGTCAACCATATATCCCTTCCTTGATGTCGAGCCATAAATGGATCAATTGAACATCTTCCAGCTCAATTGTATGCCAACGGAGAGTTGGGTAGAGCGGTGGGTGAACAAGCAGATATTCAAACACACGAGGAAAAAGAAACGATTAACTAGTGACAATGGAAACCACGCATGAGAAATGTGTAACCTGTGAATGCAGTTCACCTACTGAGTGCGTAGCAGTAAGTCAAGGGAACACACTCTGGGCGGTGAGGGAAATCAAACCGGTCGGGTCAAGAATAACGACATAAGTGCTCAAAACAGTGAGCGTTCAGATGGAGATTTTCACATGGTCATCCTGTGAATGTTAGAAATGATTTTACATACCGCTCACTTGGCATTCAGTTGAACAAAAGCAGCATCAAAACCGTTGCTCAGTCGTCTTGATCCTGAAAGTCGTATTAGGTTTCCCGATCTGGGTCGCGAAAATCGATCTAATGATCGGTTGGATACGTTAAGGGGTTTTGCTGAGTCTCGTACATCTGCTCACTTTCATTGTACACCTTACCCGCATATGTTCACAATTTTGCCATTTTTTAACTTTGGTTTGATCAGATGAATGAGGTACGCAAAAGACAGCCATAAAAAAAACGAAGCACGGAGACAGAAACTGAACCGTTCTAAAGAGTTTCAAGTATTAGTTCGGTTCGTGCAATTTCATTCGGTTAATACAATTCATATTTTCATCACTGTCTCTTGGCATTTCAATAAGCAGGTAAAATCAATGTGTATATTTTTCTTGTTGTTCGACAATCAAAGATCTTAACTTTAGGTCCATTCCTTTTGGAGGTTTTTCTGGAATTCATTTCACCAATGCTGTTCTGAAATTAAAGACTAATAAACTAATGGGAAGAGTTCCCATATGATCCGTTCTACCGCTGTTCTCCCGTTTCGCAGATTCGTTATTTCAAACAGTGTGGACGGTTCTGCCCGAATCCACTCTCCTGCCACCTTCGGTAGTGGAGATGACAGTTCAAGTCAGACCACTGATTCGGCCAGTTTGGACTTGATTGCGGAACTGCGTCGGGCTCGAGATCATGTTCAACGCAAACTGGACGAATTGCGCAGTCCACGTGCATTAGACGAACCGGAACTGTTGGCAGCCTCGTGCGAACAATTACGCACGGTTTTGGGGCAATTAGAAGCGTTCAACTTCCGGGTCGACACAGTGCGAGTGCGATTGGGATTGACCAACTGTACAAAATCCTCGCTGCAGAATGACCGGAACCCGGAGCTGAATGAGCTAGAACTGCTTTGGGATACGATGGTTCAACAGACCGAGGCATGGTTCAACACCTTACAGAAGGTGAATACGAGGATGTTTTGGTATTATAAATTAAATCCTTGATTGTAGTAGATATATGTATTTATCTATATTCCTAATGCTGTTACTAATGTTCGCAGTCGTTCAGCAATTAACCAACGTAATAATTGAAATTTTCTTTGAAGAGAACCACTTTATTCAAAGGGTCGAAAACACGATTTTCGCCTATCCCCTACTTCGTATCTCAAATTCAGATACAGGTCTGATGAGGCAGCGGGAAATCAGCCATGTATGAATCCCATATATTTATCTTTTACCTTTCTTCATCCACGGGCTCTGTCTTTCGCCTCCCTTTGTGATTCACTGTCACGCGCAATACACGGTGATGTCGTGGCAAAAAATGCGAGTAACATTCCCAAATCATCCTTAGGCATTAATAATCGATCATCTTTGAAGTTGAACGTTTCAGGTGGTTAACACGGGATGCGGTTGTGACGGCATGGGCAAACTTATTTTGTTATTTCTAAGTGAACTTTGTACATCCAGATGTCGCGTTTGTGATGTGCCGAGTCAAGGTAAAATGCATTTAGCTTGCATTTTAGTCTGTTGGTTTATTTCGCTCGGATGCAAATCCCAATTCCAGTAATCTCGGACTGAGGAGATGCATCTGTAACTTGAATTTTATCTGTCAGGCGAGAAAATCCATCTCGAGTGCACAACTAACGAGCAGCCTCGGAGCTGATTGTGCTCTTCAACCGGCTGTGTACCAGTAGCTACACGCCTCCGTTCTTCAATCAGCTGGTCGCTTGTATCGCACACGCATCCCATCCGTGCCGGATGGAGAAGCCAAGCTAAAGGTCTCCCGGATCTATACACGCGTGTTCCCCTATCCTGTATTTCAACTACTGTACCAATGCGCAACGAAATCCACGCCCCATCCATTCGACCTTCTTCTCATCGTGTCATCCCACTGATTTTATCTATCTCACAGTTGCTTGTCAGTACTCTGAGTCAATCTCTTGTGCTGAATTTATTCCAACGGATCTCGCTCACGGTAATCATGCGCATATTCAACTTGATTCAATCTGATCCGTAGAACTGTACTGTGTCGGTCCAGGTCATTGAAAACTAGATTGTTTGTTGAAATCATCTGGTCCTAACTCGACTTTAGTGGACGTTTTGGATGATTCTACGGAGATCAGCATTAAAGACTGATTACACGTGAATCACACCTACACAAATCGTAAACCTTTTGAATGTGTCAGACTTTGAACGCTTTCGATTCCGGACGATTCGAGGACCGCGGGGTTGGTGTAAGGTAATGCCTTAAGTTTGCGTTTTCTAAGCAATCAATTTGCCCGAGAACATTCATGTTGCTCTTTTTTAAACGTATTTACTCTATAGTTAGAAGTAGGAATACTGTGACCGTTGTTTTCCATTGATACAGTGTTGGACTTTAACTCATAACTGCTTTTGTCTTTTTGTTCCTTCTTCTAATGCTCCTGGTAATTGTTAGAGACTGACTATTTCTTATTTATTTTCTCACAAAGCTTCAAGGACGTGCCCAATCCATAGTACTGGGTTGAGCTTGCTAAAACGAAAATCTCACCAAACACATACTTAGTGTCACGTGAATTTCTCTCGGAATGTCACATGCTCACACCTCGTGGTGACCTTAATTCTGAGGCACATCACGGTGTCCTTTGTACCCCGGTTATTATACCCTAGCTCACATCGTTTGCAGCTTTGGTTTTGTGCTTCCCACTCAATGAATGTGGATGGTGTTCCACAACAAATGCTTCGAACTAAACGCATCTGTGTAACCCAACAAATATCTCTTCTTATGTCGAGGCTCCGATACTTTTCACTCCCACCCCGGATAATTCTTGCTTCTTTCTGATAAGAAGTGAAATTTTGTGAGATAAACCAGTTGACAATCAAAGGAAAATAACTACGGAATAATATTCAAGTGAATAGGTTTGTAAAATGTTTATTGTGACGTTTGGATCCAAATCTAAATGAAATAAATGAGATAATGGGATTACCGACTTTCCGTGCGCCTGCGTGCTGTTTGTACGTCTATCAGTTCACCAGTCGTCACGGGTTTTGCGAGTGTGACGTAATGTTTGTCTATCTCGACGTGTCGGTTGAACGAATTGACCGAGTGTAGAGCTTCGGGAATTAACCGTTCCCCTTTCTTTTTAGCTCTCGCCACCACCTTTGCGTTATTGATTACCATCTCGTGACCTGTTCGTGCAGTGGTTCCAGATTTGTCACCTCGGGTCAGCGCGTCGGAGGGGAAGCCTGTGCTCGTGTAGGCGAGTATTTGTTTGCCTGTCTCACTTATGTAGTGTTGGTTGCAGCCCAGGCACGGGATTACGTAGATTACTCCTAATCGTGCGTGCTGTTCGATCCGATCCTTGCCGTTGAAAAGAAACGATAGCACGGTTGGTGCTGTCTTATGGGCGATTTTGATTCCCAGCGGTCGGAATATTCGTTCGGTGGCTTCTGACGTGCCGCGTATGTATGATGAGGTTATCCAAATTCCTTCTTTTGAATGTGTTCTTTGTTTGTTGTTACCTCTGAGGCACCCGTTGATAAAACTCTTGGAATGTGCCTTTGATAAGAACAGTTGAAAGAGTCGACTTATGTCTCTTGTCTTCAGCTTCAGTGTTCTGCAATATGTGTTTGCTCGGCGGCACACAACTTTTTAGGTGGCTCAAAGAGTGATTACTGTTGTAATTGAGGATGCGGTCCGTCATGGTCGGTTTTCGGTAGACCGTGGTTTCCGTCAGGTTGCCTCATGAGAAGAATGTCGAGGAAGGAGAGTTGTGCATCTTTTTCTTCCTCTCGTGCGAAATTGATACCAGGCACCTGTCCGTTGATCATTTGGTGAAACTGGTCTACCGTGGAGGCTCCAAGTATGACGAATGTGTCGTCCACGTACCGTATCCGTATACGAGGTTGTAGAATTTCCAAGGTTTCAAAGGCTTCGAAGTGTTTCACAACCGCACCCTCAAGCAGGTCTGAGATTATCGAACCCATTGGAGTTCCTCGTATCTGCTGGTGCACCTTCCCGTCGAATTGGAAGTAGATTTCCATACAGAATTCTACAAATCTCACTAGTTCGTCCACGGACAGTCTCGTTCCTAGTTGCAAATTTTGGTCGTTTTGCAACAAGTGTCGAATACTTTCGATGGCCATTTGCTTCTGTCATCAGCGCTTTTCTCTCAAATTTGTAGACTGCAGTGATCAACGACAAAGATTGGACAAACATATTTTTCGATCTGTTAAGTTCTAAATTTCAACCCAAAGATTCTCGGATCGTGCCTCTGTACATGAGAGTTAATACTTGTAAGCTAATCGATGCTTATTCAACTGAGCCACTTAAAGAGTTATTTTCCGGTAAAAAGGAGAGCGAATTCATCCAGGAATTGCGAGGTGACTATTTGATAATCTCAGCAGTGAAAATCCGACTCCACAGCTTGCTCAACGAGTGAATGGGGTTAAACGGTGCCGAAAATTCACGCTTTTTGCCCGGGGAACTTACGATGTCCCAAGTGGATTGGAAATGGATAAAGTTCTATCCTAAAGCCATTTTCGATGCTGCACTTAGATGGGCACACCACTGAGGCGAAAGTTAATTCGATTTTATGGGAATTGCGAACGAGCAACCGATAAGGTTTTGGTAACTCAAGTCTTCTCATCAAATTGTGTGTTATTACAAAAGGTTTGGTTGAAATTTAGAAATCAACTGGAGTCACGCTTATGTCCCCTGAAACAAACGACAGCTTGATTGTTCAGTCCTTCTAGCTGCATAGGGTTAGCTTTTCCAATACAACTTAATATGTTATTTGGTTAGATGCATATTTGTTACTAGGGGTTGCAATCTTGGCAACTCATGGCTATATCAAAGCGGTATTATGAATCAGGGCTGAAGCGAATGAACACAATCAACACCGATTGAATGATCGAATTACGCATCGTTAATCGATCGTAACCCGTAGTATGTGAATGATTAAGGCATTACCAAATTGCAACGCATTTAGCATGGAGCATAGCTGTTCTATGATGGAAGTTTTTCGTAACTCTGATATTATTTCTCTCTCCCTCATTTCATTTCCATTTTTCACTCTCTTTATCAGGCATTTATTCATTCCAAGAGTTTAGAGCAAATTCTGTCCGAATTTCGACGTGATTTAGACTTTGCCGAGGTCCGTCTTCAGCCGTTTTTCGCTCCAATGTATGGAGAAACCCAGTGCCCCTCTCAATCTTGGCGTGAGAATTCGTTGGATGAATTGGGTCCCACAGAGCTAGAAATTCAAAGACTGGATCTTGATGAAGAGTTAGTCAGGGTAAACGAAAACCAAAACGGCCAGTCTGTGGATGAGGCTAACCACGTGCCGACCGCGCTTCGATTGCTGCGAGTCATTCGTTTTCGACTTTCCTGCTGGTTTTCACATGTGAATTTACTGATGCTGACCACGGACAGTACCCAGATTTTGTCTTCTCTCACTCGCGTTCAGGCTGGTCGATTAGTTTCCGGGCGATTCTCAGTGGACGAGTCTACTCGGATTCGACTGAAACAGCTTCGCGCTTCTGTCGGACGTCTGGTGGACGAAGCTGAACGTTTACTGACCGCTTGGAGTTCACGCCGTTCCGTAAGCCGTATTCCACTGGCCGTGGTTGGCTCGAGTAAAGCATCAACTCCCACAGCTCGGGGGACATCAGACGATTTGGTTCTGACCGCGAGGTCCTCATGTTTGTCAAATCTCAGCGGTACGTATCCAGTTCGACCGGATAGTAAACCTCGTTTGCGAACTTTCAAAGTGAGTCAAGCTGTTATCACTTATTTATAGTAGATAACACGTTTACAATGAATTTTCATCGGTGAGTTTTTCGTGTTCAACAACGACTCAATACGCCAGTCAGCTTTGCAATTTGGTTCAGTGAGCGTCGAATGAAGTCGATAGAACCCTGTTCAAGTTTGCACACACTGCATACACTGATTCATATTCTCATATTACTTTATCAAATTCGTACAACTTAGTTTTTAACTTTTTAAGTTGTCAACTTCGCACTCAGATATAATGCTTCTATCGGCCGTCAGCATACAGTGCCTTTTGCCGCTGTTTTATCCTCGTCAGGACTCGTCAGCACTGCGCATTCGCGAATTTGTGAAACTCGAAACCCGAACGTGCAAGGTTGTGAGTCACACACGTTATTACCAGACTATTCGGTCTAGATGCAGCAGCTGGTTGTACATCAACAGCACTATCCCCTGAATCAAGACAAACTTTATTTACTCTCAGGGTTGAGAAATTTGGGATTCCTTGGGTTGATGTAATGCCATCCAAAGGGAATATTAACTCCTTTTCCAGTCATCTATTTCTAACGTCACCTGGCTGTCCGGCAGGGTAGAACCTTCCGGCATACTTCCCTTCAGGCTCATGCTGCGACGTCTATGGGAAGTGATCTGCCCCAGACTCTCAGTGGTCGGGGTGCCAGTCAGCTAGCCTTTTAACCTTCGAACTAGAAATTGTATGAACATAATGTGTTGCAATATTAGAATTCTATTGGATACCGAAAGTCAGTGTATTATTATGTTCTCTCTTTGTGACTATGGAGTAGGTATATTTACCTATCGGATTTGCGTATGCGAACCTCAGGCACTAGAAACATTAAAGTAATTCAGGTGAATGTTATGTACTAGATATATCAAAGTGATCCATTGGACAGCTCCAGCCATCATGGAGTAGCAATCGCTGTGAACAATGCAGCTTAAAAAGCTATTATCTCGTGGACTTCGATCTATTTAAGAATTGTTGTATCGCGTTAGTCAGAAGACGCCCAGTGAAGGCGGTGCATCGAACAAATCTTACTCTAACCAGAATTTCGGACCATTTCTACTAGTTCCAACAGTCGAAAAGGTATGTCCCATTGATTTTTTCGTAGCCTTGCATCCAGTCAATCGATCGTGCTTATGGGGTACACTGGCAACGAACAGGATATCCGGACAACTCGTAAAACTATATGAGCATTCACTCTGGTACGCGAATGTGTTTCCGCGCTTACGAGGAGGAGGAGTCTGAGGAATTCACCGTAAAATCCAGGGTTATTCAACTCACTTTCACTGGTGCTTTTCAATTGCTTAGTCGACTGGTTGATGCGAACTGCACTCAATGACTATCCTACAACTCAGTTTTACTAAGTGGGTTGCGAACCTGAACTTTGCAGACGACATCGTCCTCCTCGGGTGTACTCCCGAAACCATTCACAACCGGCCATCAATTGCATCAGTGGTCTTGTCTAGCTCATCAACTCTAAACTATTGACAGTATTACACTCTTCAATGCACCCCATCCAGATTGTCGAGAAACCAATAGAAAGATTACGAATATTCAAATATTTTGGTTATGATCGAACTTACTGACGTGGTTGAAGATGGAATCATATTACAAGGTGATTGCGCATACACTGAATGTTCCTACAACTGCGTAGGGTACTATGTAGCTACAGTGGGATTGACCTACGCACTAGGAACCGATTCCCTTGAGTTGCCGTGAACTCTGCTCTCGCATACGGCTATGAGACCCGTCCATTGGTTGCCTGAGGTTTGCGGAAATTGTAATTCTTCGACCGTTGGTACCTGCGATGCATCCTGAAGTTCCAATGACGAGAACAGGTTTTCAATGAGGTTCAACGACGATGTAACGGCATCAAAAAGCCGTTATCATTACTGCAGCACTGCCGCCTCCAACATTTCAACCATGTTCTCCAACGACTTGTGAACACCATTTCCAAACAATACTTGCTTCCATTACTACTTACTAAATAGGTCATCAGCATTTGACTTGGATTAACATGGTACCGGAAGGAATAGAGCATTGAAGCCTTCGATGCATCTATGATCTGGGGGAATGAAACAGGGATTGGGGGTATCAGTCTGCACCGAGCTTGCCACAAACCGACAGGTTTAAACAGTAGCAATCCCAAACATCCCCATAATCGACTTATTCTCATAAAAGATTTTCGCAGAAGATTAAATAGGTTAATTCATGATACAAAGCCTGTTCTTTACTGCTGTTGGCTGTTCAGTGCCGTCACTGAGACATTTTGACGTTTCCTGGGAAAGAAAACCTGTACAGTGCTTCTCAGTAATGCGCGTTTGTGTGTAAGTGACACGATGACACTGCATGATGAATCGCTTTCCAATCATTCATGCACTGTCCTACTCAATAAAAAATCAAAGCATTCTCTTCTTAAGACGCCGTGGTTTAACTTACCGTACGTCTGTTGTAACTCTGATTTCGAGATCAATTTGAGTATCAATCAATATGTTCCAGAGACAGAACGGCTAAAGTTCCACCAGCTAGCATCAGAGCGCAAAGCGGAACATCGGACGTTCTTCGAAGGTACTTCACTGCGGCTTCAAACCATATTTCATTATCTAAGAAACGGTCCAGATGCAGTAGGATGAGACCAGTTCACGAATCAGTCAGTGTTTGTTTGGGAGTTCAAAATCAAACAAACAAACCGGGACAATCCGATCCAACACGCTCGTTACAGAACGCATGAGCTGAGTAAAATCTGAACGAGGATTGAACAGCTGTGAGATCTGATTGAGACTGAGCCGGTTCGGTTTTTGCAATTCGGTAATTTATTCCAAATGTGATTGTGAAAAATACTTTGTTTTAATTCCAAGGATAGCTGTAAGTTGACCGGATTTTCATATCTTGTTTTTCATTCGAACAGGATCATGATTCGTTCTGCTCGTCTGACACGGACGATAACGTCGAAGAATTGGTAAGTGACGATCCCGTTTCATTTCTCATACAGAATGATATCTTTCCATTACACGCCGGTGTGTGTGTGTGTGTGTGTGTGTGTGTGTGTGTGTGTGCATATGGGGACAATTTCATTGGGTCACATCCGCTTCTGCTGATTCCGTCTGAACAAGGGTATTTGTTGATCTAAGTACGTGTAGTATGATACGTTTATTTGAAGCCAGAAAGTATCACTGTTATTGTTTATTCACTGGCCTGAAACAGCTAAATTGCCCGAACCATACAGCTGGAAGCATACTAGTGCGGAATGCTTGTTTCTATTCTGTCAGCGTCGTGTGCCGTTGCATTACTCAACAGTCAAAATCAGAGTGGTAGGTTCGTTCGGGGATTTTCCTTCCGAGGCCTCAACGCAACAGTCTTAATTACAGGCGATAGGGCTGTGTTACATCTATCAACTCACTTTTCGGATAGGGTTGTCACGTTCACCGTATCCAATCTATGTCATTGCTAAATCGACCCAGTATTTCTGAGGACAGCTCATTCACCTCACCATGGGTGGCTTGAAATCAGGGTTTGCCGACTTTGTCAAACAAAGCTAACTGTCTAAAGCTCATCAACATGGTTATAACCTCGGTCAGTAGAATACCGTCTTCTAATTTCATGAGACATTGATTGGGATTTCCCCAGTAGAGACTATGGACGCGAGATTTAGGTGACATTTTGAAAGGAACCCAGGACTGTTGAATCTCGCGGTGAAAAACAATCCATTGAAGTAATTTTCCCAATGCATAAAAGTGATCCGGACTTCGTTCACTTGAGTTCGCTTAATAAATTCAACACGAATGAAATTTTTTGGGGGAAATACTACACTCGAAATTCCTATAAGCGCGAAGGTGAATTAGGTTGAAATTTGGGCTATATTTTGTTCCTGCTCTGTACTCGTTACGTAACTGTGCGATATCTATCCTCTACTCCCACGGTTAAACCAAGCATTGCATGATAAAGCACAGTGCCTAATCAGTGTATCAAACCACAAGGTTGCGTTACACTTAGTTCACTTCATTTGTTACTGCTGGTAGCACCGAAGCGCGATGAAAATTTTGTTTATAAAGGTTCGCTTTGTTAAGCATATCCAATCTCTATTTGTTCTCTCTCTCTCTCCTTCTCTTCCTTCATCTGCCTATCTGTACGTCCAGGTATCAGTGACTTCCCGATCTAGTGTGTCTCTCGTGTCCGACGAGTCTGACCACCTGATCAAGTAATGATCGCTTACAAATTTGTTTGTGTTTCTTTTTTTCTCTCACCTCTCATCTTTTTGTTGTGCCATTCCCGTTTAGTGTCATTCACGCGTTCACATCATCGACCCATACCCATGCAGCGTTCTTTTTCTCTCTCGTTATTTTATTGATGTTGTTACCCATCACGCTTCAACTCTCTCACTGTCATTCTCCTTGTCTGTCTGTTTGTGTGTGCGTGCCTGGATGTATATTTATCTGTTCACATTCATCAAACTGTGTGATCCTTTAGATGGCCTCACTCGTGTCCGCCTGATCCACATCCACATTGTTGTCAATCATCTATCGCAATATTCCTCCTGATCCGCATAATCATCATTGCTTGATTTTGCTTTGTTTCTGTGTTTTCCATTTTATTCTGTCCCCGCATTGAATCGATTCTGTCCCCGTGACTTACACAAGATTACCCTTTCGGATCCGATGAGCAGATTCACTTCGGATCCGTTTTTCTTGTTTACGACACCGAGTTTGACTTGACACAGCAGTCACTGAACTGTTTTATCTGTTACATTCCTGTTCTGTTCTGACAACCATTAACCATGCACTTTCGTGCGCTGGTTTTGATTGCCCATTTGGATAAAATAGCAGAATGAAGATTAGAATATTGACAGCAGATTCAAAATCGATCAAAATTGATTGTAAAACCTGTCTTGAGAAAGGTTACCCACGGTAACCGAAGGGTCGGCGAATATAATTCTCTACCGACATCGCTATGTTATTAATACTATAACATTCACAATAGTGACAGATCCTCCTTTGAAAAACACCGTGGAATTAGTTTAATCAACATTGTATCTAAATTTCTCACTGGTATCACACTCCGTTGATTGTCTACCGCATGTGAACGGTGTACGCGTTAGAACCAGGTTGGTTCCAGATCTGGTCGAGGTTGTATCGACCGCATCTTTACTCTTCCTCAAACCCTAGAACACAGACACTCCATTCGTAGACCCACCATTTCTATCTTCCTCGATCTGAAAGCGGCTTTCGCCCCAGTCGACCGCTCCAAACTCTGGCGCTGTCTCAATCTAGAGTGTGTGCCCGAAAATTTTATTTCTATATTACATTCGCTTTATAATAAAAGCCGAAGTTGAGTCCGAGCTTACGGCACTTTTTCACCCGAGTTCACCACGGAAAGTGGTGTTCGACAGGGTAACGCTGTCTCTCCGTTTCTAATTAATTTCGTGATAGATTCGATTCTTGAACAGCCTTATCATCGTGCGAGGATAGCGGTATCAATTTACTCTCAGGTGGTGACTGTCTGATCTAGAGTATGCAGACGACATTGTGCTACTAAGTGAAGATCCAAGTGATTTGCAAGCTTTTCTGGATAGTTTGAGTGCTAGGGTAGCGATGCTCGGTATGCTTTTTGCGCCTTCAAGGTGTAAAATGGTACTACAAAACTGGGTTGGTCCTGCACCCAACCACACCACTGTCTATGTA